TAATAACAAGCACTAAAAGAACTTCATTATAAACAGTAAATAGATCAAAATGTACAATAAAGTTTCATGTTTCATTTTATTCTTTGCTTTAATAGAAAAAGAACATTAACTGTAACTCTGCAAGAAAGAATGCTTACTTTGAAATTTTAACGAGAGTTTTTGTCGAGTCGGCAACAGCTTTGCTGCATCTTATACAAGATCTGTGAAAATTGAATCCCGTTTCTCTCCCAGTAGCAGTTAATTAGTCGTAGTAGGTATTAAATCGTTATACATACCAATGAAGAGTTGCAGACGTCGTCGGAAAGACTAAATCGAATGCTTCTTGGAATGTTTTATTTTGTTAGTTTTACTTTTATCATGAATAGCTTTTCCCATGACTTTTATCTGCCCGGAATTTAAAAAACATAGTAACCAGGTGTTCTTCCCGACTATGCTACATATCTCTAGCAAGATTTATCAAGTTTGATGTTTGTTTTTTTTTATTCAATTAAATACATTTCGAATTAAAAATAATTGAATTACAATCATTACATTATACGAAAATGATAAGAGAAATCCATATCTATTGGGATGTTAAAGTTACAATATCTTACATAGTTGTAAATTTCATAAAATAATTTGATTGAATGGAGTTGATACTGGTATGAAAGTTAGCACAAATCATAAGTAACGTTCTAAACGAGTTTTCTAAATATCAAGTTAAACTTCGTTTGCTGTCGGCCTAATTTATATTCAAGTCACGACTCCGAGAAAGCGTTTAAACGTCTAACGTTCCTGAAATAGCTTTCTTGATAAATTCGTTCATCTATTTACAATCTGTATAATATTTTTTACGAAATTTTTCATCGCTATTATCATATTTAAAGAAAATTGTTCAAGATCACATTAATAAATTAATTAAGCTTACTTCTTATATTAAATTATTAACGAAACACATTTATTTGCTATTAGAAGTTTTACCATAATTCATGTTTATCAAACTAAAAGAGTGTTTCGAGAATGAATTAAATCTATTTATATGAAGCGAAAGAAAGTTAGGATTTTTTCTGGCGATAGTCCACATCTCTTTAATAGTTACAACAAAACTATTTTTTTGCTAAAGCAGATTTTTAAAGCATTTCTATGATGTTGTTTAATTATAAATTATTACCTAGTTTAATAATTCAAATTTTTATATTCAGTTAAAAAGCGAACATTTAACTAAATCTTGATTTACAGAGGAAACTGTCAATGTATGTGAGGATTGTCTCTACGTTGTCACGACACTCCATACGCAAAAAAACAGTTTCCTTTTGATCAGTCATTCATTGAAAATATTTTCTTGTTTAAGAAATTTGTAAAAAGTATCCTCTCGCCCCCGGGTGGACTTGAACCACCAACCTTTCGGTTAACAGCCGAACGCGCTAGCCGATTGCGCCACGGAGGCTACAAATGGCTTACGGGAACTAAGAATAAAGGTTTTAGAATTAAATTAACGTGTTTTAAAAGGTAAAATTGTAGTAGTCTTGCCTTGAAAACTTTAAAGTTACTTGTTCAATACAAAAATAGAGTTCCCGCCCCCGGGTGGGCTCGAACCACCAACCTTTCGGTTAACAGCCGAACGCGCTAGCCGATTGCGCCACGGAGGCTACAAATGGCTTACGGGAATGAAGGATAAAGGTTTTACAATTAAATAAAAGTGTTTTAAAAAATAAAATTGTAGTAATCTTGTGTTAAACAAATTTTAAGTTATTTGTTCAAAACAAAAATAGAGTTCCCGCCCCCGGGTGGACTCGAACCACCAACCTTTCGGTTAACAGCCGAACGCGCTAGCCGATTGCGCCACAGAGGCTACAAGTGGCTTACGAAAACCAAGCATCAAGATTTTTTAAGTAATTGAAATTGCACTAAACTAAAGAAGTAGTGGCATATAGTGGTTCCTTAAAAATACAAGTTTAGTATAGCTATCTTCTTCATTAAATTAAAATAGTTCACCCCCAGGTAGGGTCGGATCACCAACCTTTCGGCACGGAGGCTACGGATATCAGTGCATAACTGTGCATAACTAAATTTACCAAAATGTTTAGTTGTAACGCTAAAATATCTCGTAAGTAAAGCTAACTTAGTTTAATGTCCCGACCTTAGTAATTAATTTTTTCGGTAACATTATCTTTCGTTTTATTTGGATCGGATTAATTGTTGTTAATCAATAGATTTTACAACGTATCTTTACTACAACATAAAATACATCAAGACTGAATAACCTAAAATACTGGCATAAAATATGAAATATTAAACAAAGAATGCGGTAAAAGGTTATAACCTAAATCTCGCAGGCACAGCTATAAATTACCATATAAATTGCTACTTAAATTTACGACTGCTTCTCATCTTAGTCTTGATAATCATAAACAACTGGAGCTGACAATGTGAAACCGTATGGGGTTATTTTTGATTTCATAAAAAAGAGAACATTACCTAATCAGCGAGAAAGTCTAATTAAGAAGCATCGTAATCTTTTAAACTCATATACACGACATGGGTCAATACGTAAAAAATATACTAATCTCTTCGAAAGTATGAATCAGAACCTTAAAAGTCACAATTTATTTTGTTAGTTGGAAGTAGTAAAATCAGTTGATTTTTTTCGTTACCATCGTTTTACTGCCTTATTTTCTCGTTCTTTGATTAAATTTCTTTACAACAAGAAAAGCATTAAGCGAGTGTTGTTGAACGCAAGTGGAATGGCAAACTTAACGTCAGCCACACTAACCGAGGCTAACTGCCAACACACTTCTAATCCGCTCAAAAGAACAACAAAAACATCGACCTAACAAAAGAAGACTCGGTCATTTTTCTTCGAGTTGAAACACATATTGCTTCCAAGCTTGTATTTGTTTTGAAAAGTTTATTTTATTCTAGGACAAACTATCAAACTCGTTTATAAATTTATAACAGAAATACAGTGTAAAACGTAAGTTATACAAGTTTTAATATAAATTGGAATAAATATGACTATCGACTTAAGGAATAGGGCATGATTATGATTTCGTATTTTGCGGTGACGAAAACAATAAAAGCCAATCAAGTTTAAAAACCTTCTATTCAGTAATTTTCTTTTGCATCTCTTTTGTCGGGATCACAACACGGTAGTCCCGGTTCTACGCGAGGACAACTAAAAGCTACATCCTCCTTCGTCTGTTTAGCGCACGGCCCCTCCTCGGCTATCACGTCCTTACATGTGCTAACTGGCGGGAAATCCTCCCGAGGGTATGCCGACAATCTCTCAGCCTGCGGAGATATCTTAGGCACGTCTTGACGAAGTTTCTTCACTTTCTCATATGCGTCATGAGGTAAACGCATGTAGTCAGGTACCTGGAAATTATATTTTTTATGTATGTAATTATCATTCAACTAGTGTTTTAGTATGTGAGCGTCAGAAAAAGAATAATGTAGCACAATTTCAAAACATTTGTTTTACAAAAAGAAACAGGAAAACTATAATTTAAATGAGGTTTCATTGAGTAACATGGTAAATATTTTTCAATATATTTGCTATTATCTTAAAACCTAGTTTTTGCATTGTGCATAACCACACATCTTTCATCAACAAACATCATAACATCGCCTGACCGCAGTGACCACAACTAGGAGAATATATCGCAAACCTGTATGATGCCATACGACAGATGATTTTAACAATGATTTGTAACATAGCATGATAAATTAAATTTACTTTTCTTTTATTTTACTTTAAAACACTCTTTCAAAACGTACTAAACCTGTTACAGTTTCACATCATAGTAGTTGGTTGTGTATTCAATGTAAACGTTGCCTTTAAAGAATATGTTTGCCATTAAATTATAAACAGAGTGACATAATGCATTACATGATAAAGCCACAAATTGTTTTGACACGGGTCTAAACCACAAACTAATAGCAGAAAATTCCACAAGCATTGAGCGATATAGAAACGGTCAACATTTTACCAACTAATTATAAATTTCCAATAAAACATTTAATTTCCATTGCTATTTTGATATAAAAAACCGTCATCAAACAGAAATAAACTGTTTTTAACAGTTTTTTTTTCTAGATCAGAAAGTTTTGTGACTTTTCAATGTTGTTTTAAACATTCATTGAAGTAATACCTCTTTGCATTGTACACCGAACTTTCCAAGATATCCTGGAGGAGCAGCCTTAGGAGCATCTTCCCTTGTACTGGCCAACATCTGAGCGCTAGGAATAAGTTCATAGGGACATTCATTCCGTGCTCGACGTGCAGCTCTTTCCGCTGCGTCCTATTAAAAAAAATAGTTAGTCTTTTATAGCGTCATATTGTAGGGATTGAAAATTGTGCAATTTTCCGTACCGGCTCTTGTTGTTTTTTGCAAAAGTCTGGATCCTCGTCAAACTGCGGATGACCAGCCGGATAAGGTTGTTCAGGTCGTACGTCACGATGTTCCTCGGTTGCTGGAGCACTGAAGCATACCACTTTTTGGTGGTCATCGCGCGCTTCGCCAGATTTTAGTATACCTTTTAGTGGCATGATGCCGTCACAAGTCGGTTTGCTGGAAATTTAAATTTTTCTTATATAACTTTCTTAGATCTATCGATTTAGAGTAAAAACCTCGACCTTCAGGTATACCTCTGTCTCGTGATGCGTAAAGCGTCATCATAAGATATATGGTCAGTGGTCATGGGCGGTGTGGGTGGTCGCGGAGGCGCGGCACTGCCCTCCACCACGCCGAGCTGGCCGAGGCAGCGTTCCATCGCGTCGGGCTCCGCCACCGCCGCCTGACCGATCTTAGCAAGCTGCGCTCGCGTCTCACGAGCCTGTAGGTCCCGCACTGCTTCCTGTGATGAACAAAAACAGTCGATAAGACGTTTTAGTACAGACCAACCGCTTAGAACTACTTAGACGAAGTTTCTGAGATATAAAATTTGTACAAATGTATAGATATATTAAAAACAATGCCTACATCAAGTTCGTCCTTGAGATTGCCTTCTCTCATGTGATAGTTGCGCACATTGTCAATCACCTCCTGCGGGAACTTCTCCGGGTTAGCGCTCATGTATCGGTACACGAACAGGTCGCAACCGGTTATCTTAAAGCGGTGCTTGAACACGGGAACAATAACACCTACAATGATCTCATTATGTCTCTGGCTTCTATACACAAGTATCTTTAAATCAAAACAACAAGGAATAACATAACAATAATTTTGTGATTTCTTATATTCGTCTGGATTTTTACACTTTCTATAATTTGATTACTAGCTATTTACATGCAGTGATTATTCGAAGAAAAAATTCTATACCGATGAATGTACCCTTACCTACAAAAAACTTATCTGGCGTGAAATATGTGGGGAAGTTTGGATCAGAATCGGGCGTCTGAAGTAGCATTGACTTGAGGAACCTTCCCTCTCGTATCCCGGAGTTCCGCTGCGGGATCTCGTCAATCTTGATGGTGCCGTCCGCGAGGCTGTACGACAACACGAACTTTCTTCCCTTGTCTTCGGGATGAATCCAGTCCAACTCGCACAGATAGCGAAGGTACTGTCACGGGAAAAATACGTAAGTTGAAGAAAATAACACTACATGAGATACTATATTAGAACCAAGAGCAGTACCTAGTAATAACGTATACTATTTTCCCATTTTGCTCTCTTGATACGTATGTCTACAATTTTCTATCGAGTAAAGACTAAGTTTAAAATACAGGAGCCACATAAATCCACCCGATTGAGTTAAAATACAAGTGAATACATTTAAAAGCAAAGTAGAATATAACATTATCAATTTGTCCATACATATACGTCTTCATGCTTTGAACAAGTCATAAGTTACGAAATAAAGATTTTCTTGGCGATATTATGTAGAGAAGGTGTCATTCGAAAAGATAAATGATTCAAAGCACAACAAACATGGGAAAGTTGAAAGAAAAATGGACTTAGCTTGCAGCATAGTTTAATCTTGCTGCGGCTTGTATTATGAAATATTACACAACTGTGATATATCGCTATAAAACACGCAAGAATAAAAAACAATATCTTCACCACGGTTTGAATAAAAACAAACGAATACGCTACACTACACGACAGTTGCTGATAATGAATACTGCCCCTATGAAAATTCCATCTACCTATTTCAAACTTCAAAGGATCCGACAATGCGTTCCTACCTTTAACATAGATGAGAAAAGTTAGAGATAAATTAGACAACGGAGAGAGGGCTTGAAAGTTCAACAATCCCTTTACATAACGTAGTAATAAATACATAGACTTTACTTTTGTACAACACTAATAATATAGAATGTTTCTGAATAAGAAATTACAAGAGATTGGTAAAACAACATAAGCAAATGTAGAGAATAACATTTTCAATTGAATTTAGTCATTTTCTTTTTAAAACATTATACTATTGAACTTAATAACTTGTGTCTCCAGAACAATACGTCTCATTATATAAGCAAACAAACTATGTCATGTACACCGGAAGGTAACCTTGTACTATGTAATAACCAAAATAATCTTGTAAATGGTTTCTAGCCGCCAGGTTTTTGAATTTAGAAAGGATTACATTTACGAATAACTTATCAATCTGAAACTCTTCACAAAAGACGGAGCAAAATTTCAATTATCGCATTTTCTTAATAACCTGTCTTCTTCCGTTGTAAACTTCATTTATAGAGAACTTCCAAGTTAATTTTAACTCTTAAGAAATAACATTAAGAACGTAGAGAAATGAAATAGGTAAACAAAGCAATTCTACTATAAAATACGCTCCCAAATTTAAAACAAAATAGTGAAGTTCCATGAAACGTTTTTATCGTGTAATTTGTAAATAGCTGTAAAAGATTTCAATTAACAACACACAACTGTTTGTCGAGAGTTGCAACTTTGATTAAGTTAGTGTAAGAAGTTGTTAAGTTGAACAACGCCGCGCTAACTAAGTTAATACTCGCAGACGTAACAAACCTCTCCCACATTAATGCTTACAAAACTTTGCCACCATATGTTACACCTCGGCTTGGCCCGAATTTCTTATGTAAATTGTCTTGTTTATTTAAATTTACTAATTATAGCTACAAATTGTAACTCCATGCATTTTAAAGGAGATATACTGATTTTTTAAATAGAATATTGGTGGAAAAAGGATGCCATTGTAAAAGATATCTTCAGATATTCTCACCGTCTTGTAATCAGTGTAATTTCGTATACCTTGTTAGCATTGAGATTGTATTTGATGACGTCCTTGTGTGGAGTCTTGGGCATCAAGCCGAAGCAGGAGCCCAGCGAGTCCTCCGGAGTACCAATGCCAATGTGCGGTGGAAACACCTGCCGAAACATTTTGTACATACTCGTGTAATAGTTGGTAGTAGTTATTAAACTAACAGTTATGAAATTAAGTTAATATTTGAAAATCGATTACTCTATCTTCAAGACACTATTATGTAGGTAACGAATATAGGTGAAAAAAATTAAGCCAAAAACCGTCTTACCTTTGGAAACTCTTTCACTTTCTTTTGAGGTATTTCTACCTTTTGAGGTTGATCGAAGTTCAACATTATTCTGTGAAAATTTAATTTTTGTTCCATTTTCAATAAATAATGAATAAAAAAATTAATTACACGGTTATAGGATTAAACGAACGCACGAAGAAATAAAATAACCGATCCAGTAATAAATTACGATTACTAGGTTATATATGGAGTAAGTTTCTATTAATACGTAAACTTTATAATAGTGATGAAGCCATTCTAAAGTACTTGTAGTATTTCCTGGTGAATTCATCGCAGTCAAAGATCAAGAAGCGTCGGCCGAGCAGAAACACCGTCTCGCCAACAATGAAGTCTTTCGGCGCGTAATACTCCGTCACCTCCTCCTCCGTCATCTCCATCACGAGCGAGGGGAATGTCACTGTTGACATTTAAACTATCCTGTACAAACTTCTTTATAGATAGTATGTGTCTTTAATATTATCTTAATTAGCCAACAAACATTTAACTAACAGACAAAGTATTCTGCACAAACTTAAGTCTTCGGAGACATTTAAAACAACTTAATTTTGAATCTACTAACGCTTCTGTATAGTTTAAAAATATTTCACATTTTAATCTTTAAAATAATTTAAATGAATAAAACTGCTAGAGCTACAAAATTACACAGAGTTGATGTTTAATTTTGTTCCGTATTGGAAAACGAATTAATCCTCCTTCGAGATCGTCTACGTTTAACTTATTACTAGGGCTAGAATAATAAGACGGGCTATATAAATCCTTCCGCGTCTCGTGATTGCTTCTACGTTATTACTCGCTATCTTTATACAAGCTTCCGGAGAAACAATCTGCAGGATATTTTCACAAACTATTTTAATTACAGAATAACGTATCTTTTTAAGACAAACTAAACGATAAATCTAAAAGCCATTATCAGTGAAAATAGAACGGTAAAAAATAATATATTAAGCAAGTCATTAGATAGTTATTACCCACCAGGCTTTTCCTTCCATTTCTTTGGTATTTTAGTTTTCTTCAATAACATGGGAAATGGATCTTTTCCTCCTCGAGCATCATGAAGTTCCTGTTTTATGAAGAATATATTTAATAATGTTTGTACTCAAGAAAATACAAGAAAGTATATGACAACTCATCTTTATTTATCAATTCAAAAAACATTTTATCGCCCCCGGGTGGGCTCGAACCACCAACCTTTCGGTTAACAGCCGAACGCGCTAGCCGATTGCGCCACGGAGGCTACAAGTGTCTTACAGGAACCAAGTATCAGGTATTTGTAAATTAAGTGTATTAAAAAAAAGTTTCTACGGTAGATTATTAAATTAGACTTGATCAATACAAAAATAGAGTTCCCGCCCCCGGGTGGGCTCGAACCACCAACCTTTCGGTTAACAGCCGAACGCGCTAGCCGATTGCGCCACGGAGGCTACATATATCGTGCGAAAAAAAATGAATCCTATAATTTATGCTATAGAAACATTATTCTACCTATAACTTAGCTGCGTTATAACTTACTATACAGACTGAACTTATTATTATTTTGATATTACCTTAACAGAGACGGTGTCATCTTGCAGGAAGTAAAAAAGCTTATACTCTCCAAGTTCGCCATTCTCTGCATCACGATTATCCCACACTACATTGAATCTGGAAGGGAGATATAATATCACTTAAGTATATAAAAATGGTTTAAAGTGTTACTTAAGATCTGTTTGTAAAATGTACGAAAAATCATAACACTGTGAACTTAAAAAATAAGTTATGGACTAATTTTCCCTAATATCGCACTATTGTATTTATTCTTTTTAATTCGAAATTAAATTCTTGTAAGACTAGTATGCTCTGCAATAAGAACAAAAGTAAAAAAATATCGAAAAGATATAAAGCGAACGGCTCCCTTGAGCAAGGTTAAGGAGCCATTTTGCTTTGATTTATGAACAAACTCCGGTGGTTCCGGCCCTGTTTATTATCATGGCAGAGGAGGCAACGACAGTTAAATAAATGATAGCTACTTAAAGCGTTATGCAGTGATCATAAAATACCTCTCATTTTAATTGGAATCTTCATTAGTTATACCTAACTTGTTGAACCACATTCTGAATAAAGGATAGTATAATAGGAACAAAGATCAATCATCAATGGCACATACTCTAGTCCTGGTATAATGAACCGTAAGTTATTATTTGACTTGGTGTCGTTTTTACATACATTGGTTTCTTTCATTGTCGCGGATTGCTAATAAACGATAGCAGAAATGTAATGCAACATTTTAATATAGTATCGTTAATCTACCTTCGATGATAATGTCTACACCGATTAACTTGATATATCGATTTTTTCATAATAAGTAGAGGATTGATTTGCAATAAACATGTGGAGGTTGCGCGCTCTATTGGTTAGGAGGTGGAACAGGGTGGCGAGGGGGCAGGTGTGCGGTTTGCGGCGCGCAGCCAGCGACCCATATAGCGAGCTACAAATTAGCTATCCTAGTTGTTAATTGATCTACCGAGAGTTTTTTCCCTAGTAAATTTATTTATATGTACGCATAAAATTAACTAGTTCCAGTGCCAGTATACCAAATGAGAATAAACTACAAAACAAGAAACGAATAACATTTCACATAGAAAAGTATAGAGTTCAACAAGTTAAGTATCTTTAATGTTTGTTATGAACATTTTTGCCTTTCAATAAATTATATTACTTACGCCAGAACTTTGCCATCGTATTCCAGGAACCGTCGAAGTGGATCTTCGCGTACTTTCGGTCTTCTTGGTGGCTGAATTTTTTTCCAATGTTGTTTCACTACATAAGGATCCACTGGTACGTCTTCTGGTTTCGAAATCTCTATTCCTTGGGATTCTAGCCACTCCTACAAACATACAGCGATTTGTTAAGGAAACGATAATTTTAAAATTTACCGTTAGAACACGAAAGAAAATTATTTGACTACAAGTGGCCTCCGTGGCGCAATCGGCTAGCGCGTTCGGCTGTTAACCGAAAGGTTGGTGGTTCGAGCCCACCCGGCGGCGGATACTATATTTTAAATTCAAATACTTTAACATCTTAATTCTAATAGATCTGCTTCGTATACTTTTAGCTTTTCTTTCTTCTAATTTAGTGCTCTTTGTATTTTTTCAGCAATCTAGACCCTTGCTTCCGGTACGTCATTCTTGCCTCCGTGGCGCAATCGGCTAGAGCGTTCGGCTGTTAACCGAAAGGTTGGTGGTTCGAGTCCCCCTGGGGTCGGGGAATACTATATAGTATATGTAATCCCCGACCCCCGACCCCCGGTATACTATACAGTAATTTATATTTTAACACTTCAACATCTATATTCTTTGTCGTCTGCCATATGTTATTTTAGTTCTTTACTTTATATTAAGTTCAACTTCGAATTAATTAAGTAATCATTTGTATAAACTTAATTTTAATATGGAGTTTGTTGAAAATACAGCCTTATTAATAACTACTCTTAAGTTCATCGTATTCATAATTTAATTACTGACTGCTTTGGCGCAACCCAAAGCAGCTCTTGGCCTCCAACACAAGATTTTTTTTATTACAGTATATATTTATATTTTTGTAATGTTTAAGAGCTAATGTGACTTTGAACATGGTTATTTTAAAGAATGCTCAAATTAAATTAAATTGAATAGTCAAAGGCGTCAATGGAATCTGATAGGTCGATTAAAAATCTCAATAAAAATTAAGTAAATAAAATTGAGAAAAAAACAGTGTATTAGGCATAAGATTTTGATATAAATAGAAAATTCGAGAAGGAGGGCTACATAACAATTATTCAAGCAAAGTAAATCACACATCACCGGACAGTTCTCGTTGGTTCCTATAATAATATATCGCGTTGAGCTGCGAGCTGCTAATAGAGTTGTTGAGCGGCAGCTCAACAATTCAAGACTATGTGAGCTGATCTCATGAACCGGTATACATAGGTATGTTATGCACACGTCTAGTCGGCAGACGGCGTTCGTTAAGAGTGGTCTTGTTATTAGATATTAAAAAAACTAAAATCATGGCTGTATTAGCTTTGTCAAATCCTGTAGTTCAATCGTACATCGTTTATTCAGCAATTTTAGCGCTGAAATTAATTTCTGTGAGTGCTATGACAACCATCGCTCGTATGACACGAGGCTCCTTTGGAAACCCCGAAGACGCGAAGGCATTTAGGGGTAAGGTTAAGTTTGATGACCCCGTCGTAGAGAGGATTCGTCGCGCGCATCTAAACGATTTGGAAAATATTCCTGCCTTTTGGGTATTGGCTGCATTGTACTTGACAACAGAACCTGTGGCTGCATGGGCAACGCTACTGTTCCGTGTATACACACTATGCAGGATTATCTATACTATTGTGTATGCGTTGATTCCTTTGCCGCAGCCGACTCGGAGTATCGCCTATGGAGTCCCGTCCATTATCAAATGGTACATGGGTTACCAAGTTGCCTTGTACTACATCAGTGCTGTGTAAAGTATAGATTGTTTTTTACGTAATTTTTTTAAAAATATGTTGTAGTAAGCGGTTGCCTTACAGTTTTCATTAAAAATAATCAAAACGCATTTTTTGTTTTATTTTGTTTCGAGTAATCTTTGTGACGGCTGTTTCGATTTTAACGAAACTTTAAATGTTGATGTATCGTGGAATATCATACGTAACTTTTTTTTAATATCTCGACATCTACATTCTTTTAAAGCTGCCATATACAATTTCATTTCGTCAAAATACGTCTAGTGCAATTTCGTTCATTTGAGTAATAATTACAGCTCATTTAAATAACCTTAAGTTCAAACAGGGAGTTAACTGAATACAGCCTTATTAATAACTAGTACAAAAAAAATGATACCATTGTCTTTAGTTTGTCGGATTCATGTAGTTTTATTATTACCTATTTTTTTATTACTAACTGCTTTGGCGCAGCAATCTAAAGCGGGTCTTGGCCATCGACACAAGAAATTTTTTTATCACCTTAAATATAATTGTTTGTATTGTTTAAGAGTCGACGCGACTTTGAATTCGCTTATTTTAATGAGTGCTAAATATAGATTGAAAAGAACCCGGTTTTGAAGACATCAATGAGATATGTAGGGTCGATTATAAGAACCATAAATCTAAATGACATTCGGAAAAATACCAAAAAAATCCTACATAAGGATTTTAATGTAAATAGAAGATTCGAGAAGGAGTGCTTCAAAAAAATACACTTTCCGTCTAAGTAAAGATTAAAGTGATTGTATTTATTATTCAAGCAAAGTAAATCAAACATCAAAGTTGTTAAAGAGAGAATCGTTACGTCGGCCGTTTTATAATATTGTTTGCAGACACACGAAAAAGGTTTTCGTTTTATGTATTCTCTTTATTGTATTGTCTGATTCTTTTATAGATCGGAAGCTCTTATCTTCACTTTACATTTACTTTTACTTTTATAAAATAAGTAAATACCCGGTATTACAACCTACTAATACGTCTTATAAAAAATTCAGTGAACAATATTTAATCATACTAATATTATCGTACTAATCGTACTAATATTATAAATGCGAAAGTTTTGATAGATGGATGTTTGTTAGAGTTTATAGCCTAAACTGCTGAACGGATCTCGGTGAAATTTGACATAGATGTAAAGAATAGTCTGGTAGAACACATAGGCATTTTTTTTTATTTTACGCGGACGGAGTCGGGGGCTAAAGCTAGTTTAATAAACAGTTTCACGGTTATACTATTAATTTAAACAAAACATGCAACTAAAACGTTTTGAGGTCAATTTACAACGGTTAAAAATATTCATAAAGACGGTTATACCATTGATATATGTACTTTGACCTTGATAAAATAATAAAATACTACAGCGATGCGATGTTAACACAAACACAGTGATTTGCAACTTTGGCCATACGCACACAAAGATAATCAATATCTCATTATCATTCAGTCGGCCGCAGTCAGCAGACGTCGTTCACCGAGAGCGGTTTCGTTTTTAGTTATTTTAAAAACCTAAAATCATGGCTGTATTAGCTTTGTCAAATCCTGTTGTACAAACGTACATCGTTTATTCGGCGATTTTAGCGCTGAAGTTATTATCCGTCAGTGCTATGACGGCCATCGCTCGTATGACACGAGGCATTTACGCGAATCCCGAAGACGCGAAGACATTGAAGGGTAAGGTTAAGTTCGATGACCCCGTCGTGGAGAGAATTCGTCGCGCGCATTTGAACGATTTGGAAAACATTCCCGCCTTTTGGGTGTTGGCTGCATTGTATTTGACAACAGGACCTGTGGCTGCATGGGCAACGCTACTGTTCCGTGTATACACAGTGAGCAGAATTATCCATACTATTGTGTATGCGTTGATTCCTTTGCCGCAACCGGCACGAGGTATCGCCTATGGAATCCCATACATTATCAAATGGTACATGGGCATCCAAGTTGCCTTGTATTACATCAGTGCTGTGTAATCTAAATCTAGGACTTGTTATCAATGTGATTTTTATGTGTGGTTATGGTTGCCTTTCAGTTTTTATTAAAATACTCAAAATGTATTTTTTGTTTTATTTAATCTTTTAAATTTAACATTTACTTATACATGCCTTTATTTGAGGATTGGAATTATAATTTTATCATTTTGGTTAAAAAAATTGGAAGTAAAATATAGTTACATTTAGGTTAAATAACATTAAATAATTTTAATTCATAGTAATAAAATAATGTGTGTAATAGTCTATACGTATAATAGGTGTGTCAAACTATATTACTGTAGTTGCCTTGTTGTCGGAGCACTTATACAAAATTACATTGTCATCATTAATGTTAGTTTCAGTACCATAGGACAGGAGAGACTAGTTCTAGTGAATTCCCTAAATACATATTCTCCCTAGCCGTATCCCGCCATATAAGGAATCGGAACAACATGATTCGTTTTTAAAATATACCACAAAAATGATTGAAATATAGATTTTTAAAATGAAATATTTCTTGATGATCTGAATAGCGAAGACATGTACGATTACTTTGTTCTCCTTTTTGTTTAATTAAAACGAAACGATATGATTAAAATGTACAATTGTAATTGCTAATTTTATTTTATCTGTACTAACCCAAAAAACGTACATATACTTTAGATATTAACTTAATTGGCTTTAAAAATAAGTAATTACTTAATAGTAGCAGCACTGAACACACGTTCAAGTTACTAATTTCGAAAAAATTCCATTTAAATTTTTTAATTTCAAACATGTCTGTGTTAAACGTAATTAATCCTCTATTCCAAGCATATATAGTTTATTCAGCTATTTTGACGCTAAAACTAATTGCTGTGAGTTCAATGACTGGATACACTAGGCTCACAAGACGTGTATTCTCAAATCCGGAGGACGTGAAGAATTTCCGTGGAGTGGTTAAATTAGATGACCCAGTTGTCGAAAGAACACGACGAGCTCATATGAATGATTTGGAAAATATTCCCCCCTTTTGGATCTTGGGCGCTTTGTATATAACCACGGGACCAGGTCTAGCTTGGACGACGCTTCTATTTAGAAGCTTCACAGTATGTAGAATAATTCATACAATTGTTTACATTTTGCCAGTACCACAACCGTCTCGTGCGATCGCGTATGGCATACCTTATATTATCAATTGGTACATGGGTATACAAGTTGTTTCGTTTTATATCAGTGCCATGTAACTTTTTTATTTTTTTTTAATTATGGGATAAACTTTATGTATATCTTGTATTTAATTTAGTAAAATTAAAAAAGAGTGAAAATAGTTATTACGGGAATTTTAATTTCTTTTCTTAGAACCAAATGTAAAATTTTATTACGTTACTAGAAATGGAATTAAAAGCGCATACTTTGCTTTTGATTTCAGTATGTTTAATCAATTGTATGCCAGTTGTACAGTTATCAATTATTTTTTCAACGATGTTTATAATAACAGAACCGTCAGTATATTCTGTTATCAAAAATTTACCAATAAACAGGTATTTTATATAAATTAAACATGGATTGATAAAATATATTTACACTTCATATAAACGATAACAGTTAGTGAATTTTATATTCGAATAGTGTAATTTCTCGAGAATTCGGTAGAAGAAAATATGACTTAATACAATATTACATGTCATATATGTAGCTATTTCGGAGTTAAAACTGCAACTGCAGCACTCTTATGTGGTGATCTTGTAGGCAAAAGATGGCAACGATGGCAAATAAAAGCATGCTAGCAGTCGGTATATCACTTTTTCAATGCCTTCTGGTGTAACCCATGGAAACAGATGTACTACATCTTAAGCTTTCGTGGTTCGAGTCCGATTGAAAATAGCCCGTTCAATAATGTAATAATAATATGTATTACGCAATTATCGACACCAGGCGGTCAATTTTGTTTATTTCATTACGTATCTTATCGACTTCTAGTTACAAATTGATACGATGTAAGGAAGTTGTAAAGGTTTAAATGTAATCTACGTAGTAACTTATTTTTATAAGGATAATATTCTAGAACGTTCTAAAATTAATATCTCTCTAGAAAACATTGTGTTGTTAGGAGCGTGGACGACTTCTGTTGACAGTCAGTGACTAACGGGATGACTTGCAATAAATTCTATAGGTGTTTATTCTGATACATCAACAAGTGTGTGTATTGTGATATAACATTGTATCCAACTGTACACGACACACACAAACTCACAGCAATCAGGGCGTGTCCGTGTAAGCGACACTAGCTCATTTCAAACCAGAATTTCTAAGAGAACGCACGTCGCGTTTGTATTCATTTTATCATAGAATTTTAGTAAACAATACACAATGGTGTCACTAAGCGATCCCGCTGTGCAATCGTACATCCTGTACTCCGCTATTCTGGCGCTGAAAGTGTTAGTGATGGCTTTCTTGACTGCAAGACAACGTTACGCCAAGAATGTGTTCGCTAACGAAGAGGACGCTAAATCATCAAAGGGTAAAGTAAAACTGGACGATCCGGACGTTGAAAGAGTGAGACGGGCACATCTGAATGACCTTGAAAACATACCGGCGTTCTGGATATTGGGGGCATTGTACTTGACTACGTCACCGGAGGCCGCCTGGGCTGCGCTTCTCTTCAGGACGTACACTGTCTCTAGAATCATCCATACTATCGTGTACGCTGTGAAACCATTGCCGCAACCGGCGCGCGCCATTGCCTTCATGATCCCCGTCGTTGTCAAATGGTACATGGGTATTGCAATTGTATCTAACTATATTAGTGCTCTGTAATTTCATAAGGCGTTTGCGTCATTATTGTAAATGTATAATTTTTAACAATTGTGCCGTTTTTTAATAAAGTGTCTCTTTGTAATTAAAACTGTGTTTAATCTTAATATCAAAAAATGTCAGTAGTATTCTAATGAGTATCTAATCTGCATAAAAACACTAGTTGTTGCTCGTAACTCGTTAAATTATTAAATAACAAAAAATGTGGCCTATATTACCCACTAATAACGTTACTTTTTAATAGCGAAAAAATTTTTGAATTCGGCCCAATCTATTTTGGTTTATTTCAATACATACAGAATCCAAAAATACAAATCTTTCAAAATAGTCATAACATTATTATTAGTATATATTTTATATTTATTGATATATCACTATGAGTAAAAGGAACAAAGTTATTTTAAAATCCGATCCTAGTTATGTATATTTTTAGAGATGACGTCATATTATATCCGTAAAAATTTTATGCAAATCATGGTTATGTTGCATTTGAGGTCTCATAGTAACAGCAAGATATACCTAAAGGAATTTATCTAAGATAGAAATATAGTACAGAATAAACCAAATTATCGTTTCTAGTCCGTAACATGACAACACATAATCCGTTTAAAACGGCTACCGTTTCCAAACAGTTAAACGTTTTGTATGCACGAATAGAGCGAAATCGAAACTCTAATTCGTCAATCGGAGGCATCTGGCGCTGGCCACTGATTGATTGATTGAAACAAAAAGACGCCAAACACTGGGACTAGGCAGCTAAGCAAAACAAACTTTAACTTACAATATGGTACGGCCTCGACTTCTATTGTTACAGACTCTACTATTGGAATACTGTTATTCAAGACGATATGAATTTATAAGACAACTAGCCGTTGCTCAAAACTGCGTCCGTGTAGAATTGAGAAAAAAAATAGTTAAAAGCTTGATATTAAACCTATATTACACGCATATAATTTATCTTTCTAATGATAACAACAACAAACAACAATACATACAAAAATCCAAGATTAAAAATTTTTCTTCTTTATAATATTAATATTGATAATGAACTGTGCATCTGTAGTTCAACTCGATTACCGTATATGTTCTTTGATAGGTTAACAATTTACCTACAAATACTCCTGTTCCTCGAGATTTGCGCTCAATACATTATAAGCCGTATTATCTTTTTACGATACACGTGAAAACTCGATCGATAGAATCAAGGTTCGTTGAGCGATTATCACGTATAAGCCCTCGGAGTAACGTATTACGATCCTTAAACCACATTTATCAGATTCAGGTAGAACAACCATAACCACATTAGTTATGCTCATAAAAAAAAATCGTATATAATGGCCAGATACAAAAATATTCACAAAGTTAACGTTAATTGTTCAACTACAATTTCCTCTTTGCCTGTGAATCCTGCACACAAAACTCATCTGTTTTTTTAAGCCCAAGTATAGCTGGCAACTTTAAAACAATTCTGCATTCGACATTTGTATAACCTTTACATGAAACCTAAAGTTCATGTAAACAATAGCACGGGACTCGGCCACTGGATAATACACGTCTATTCACCCACGAAAGACTGGTATAATCTTTAAAATGTATTCAGTAATACAAAATGTATACTGCCGTTATTTTTGCTATTTATTTTAATTATAAAACAATCAAAATAAACAGCAAATCATGTTAGTAGTTGAACAGAAAATCGTTTAGTTTCTGGAGTACCGATAAACTGCCGTTTGTTTTTATATAGGCAAAGCTATAATAGTACATATTGCTTATAGACTGTTACAAGGCGCTTGTGGTCAAATTTACATTCATAGTGGTAACTAAAAACCGTCTCAGATCATAACCGCTTCGATCCATTAACAATAATACTGACCCCAAACTTAGTTGTTTTAAAGAATTTTAGGCCACAATATTATCATTCAAGACTTTTTCTCTGTAAACATCTTATTTACCTATATTATCTCTTGAATTTTTTTAATTGCTCTACTAAATTGAATTAAACGTACCCTTGTAAAAAGATCACATGACACAGTATGATAAACTTTGCCAAAGATACAAATATCTTTGCCATTGTCCAGGTCCTTCCAGTGCCAAAATTCTCCGATGTCATTCTTCGGTATTTTACCACGCTTCACCAACTTGCCTTGCCACAAGCCGGAATTCTGTAATAAATCAAAAAATGAACTTAGTGGCAAGTTAATTTAGTAAGTCCTAGCATAAATCGTAAACCATTCACAGAACTCTCACAAACTCACAAGAGAATCGCCTTTAACACCAACAAAGTCATTACCCAGTAAATGAAGCAAATACATTTAATTATTTTAAATACTATGTCATATAAATTCCATCACAGGTACAAAATACCCTCTTAATTTCTGACATTAAGAGGCTGTTATAACCATTAACATTCCCCAATTAAACTAGAGGAATCAAGTATTTAACTGTACTTATTTACATTTAATTTTTCGGAACAGAATACGGAATCAAAGCATTACTGTATTTTTTTATCCTTTAATCCCTTTTAGCAATCCCCAAATACGTCCATTATGTAATATAAATAATAAAAAAGAAAACATACTTATCTATGGTAGAACGCTCTTTATTTTTATTGTGCCTAAAATTATGACATATAAAATTAGACAAAAAAGAATAATCTAAACATACCCTCGTTTTTGGTTCAATAACGGTGAGTGTATCGTCCTCTATAAAATAAATGATGTTGACGATTCGAACTCTATAGTTCTCATCGGTGCTGTCGAACACGGGCTGCTTGAAGAAGGCGGTGAATTTGAGGCAACGCTTATCGTAGTGAGCCCAGTGCGGGATGACAGCGGGCAATGCGGGCTGCTTCACACGACCATACGTCAACGATGGGTCGTAACTGAAATAATATATGAAAAAATACGTATCTAATAATGCATGTATCTCATCAATGTTACGTCGCATGGATTATTAGTTACGTGTTAAAACAAACGCCGGTCCGAAGGCATACTAAGGACAAACATAATTTGTACTATTGTAGCAAACTTCAGTCGAAGTCAACTTATTTTGCTAGCATAATTTCATATTTAAAAGTGAATTAAAATCAAATAAAGATTAAACTCTCGCACTTTTAAACCAACTTTTAAGACCCAATAAATCTTAATCTAAATAATGACTAGGTTCTAGTTCTATTTAAAAAAATAGTTATAACTCTCCACTTATTCCTGTTGCTTCTTCCCCTTTCTTACTATCTCCTTGCTCTATCTATTTTTCAATCTGCCGGTCAAATTAGTAATGTCAATGTTGCATCCATACTTGACAGAGTCTTCCGGTAAGGCAAACGCGTTGCTGTCGACATCCGTGGCGCTGCCTCCAGGCCCCACCACTATTGTGTCAGGAAATCTGTAACCTTGGTAGAACCGTAGGGAGCTGCGCATATGATGTTTAGTCTTCGTAGGGTCCGAAAATGTTAATCCGGGAAGTTTCGGTAATCCCCACGCCATGATTAAAAATCTGTATTACAATTTATGTTCTTAGATAAAAACAACTGTGGAAGATGTACTAATTATATCAGTCTACCTTCAATACGACTTTTGTGGTATTTATGACTTGTTCTTGTGGGAAATTCTCGAAAACATTCTATGTGCATGGTGTACTAAAATTAATGAATTATAGTTGTAGAATTATTTAATTGTACTTACGTAAATAAAGTAAAAGTATAATAAAATTAATAAAAACAAATATAGCTTTTTGTGCACTAAATATATCACGTTCTTGTATTTTGTTGTCATGAAAACAGATAACGACTAAAAATGACAGTAAACAAAATTGTATCTAGGTAACGTATCAAAATGCAAGTTCCTCCAACATTTTTTTCCACAATCAAGAACTATAGTCTATAGTGAAGTTATTTCGATAAACCAAAGTTCCATTATTTTTTGGTTATTGTAACGTTTTAATTGTTGTGTTTTAACTAAATATTTTCACAAAAGGCCTGACAGAATCACGTGTGGTTCCTAAAAATAAAAATCGGCTAAAATTAAGGTTTGCGGTACAAAATGTACACGCATTTTTACTTCCGTATATTCAGTCCTAACAACGTCGCTTTTTCACCGAAATTGCGTGTGTAAGGACAGTGACACACCAAGTGTATTATGGTAAAAAGTATTATAAGGCGCGGCTTTTCCTCGCCTTGACCGTTGCTACCTCGGTGACCTAAAAAAGGGTGCAATCAGCTAACGTGCCACTCGCCCTTCGATTGACGCTATATTTGTAGGGATGGTTTTTTTTTTCAGGAATGATTACGATTTATTTATATTGTAGAGTGGAACCGCTCAAATTTCACCATTGTATTGGTTTTATTAAGAGAAAAAGTTACCAAAAAGAAGAAAGGGAAACGAAAGAAGTGCTTAGAATTGAACGTTAAGATACAAGCTTGACACTTTTATACTTCACACAGCACCATCATCTAGAGATATAACGCTTAATCTATACTATTATAATAAAGCGTAACCACACAATTCTTTGTTGCCTAAGATGTCAGCAATTACAGCATATTTTTGTATAATTCTTTTTTTAATATAAAGACCTACACTTACGTCACGCTTTAAACTACTTATTTTCACGCTATTAAACTTAGTTGGTAAATAAATTGGATAGAAATCCTAATGTGGGAGAGAGACCATAAGTTGCTGCCAACATC